GAGAGAGAGAGAGAGAGAGAGAGAGAGAGAGATCAGACCATAACAACAGTCGGTGACGGAAGAATTGAGGGGCAATACTTTAACAAAAAGGAAAGTGCTTTCTGCACTATCGAAATTCAAATTCAATTCATTGAATGACGGGATTACCCGTCTCGTACCACGTCAGAGTAAACACACACAAAGTTGCCGACGAAGCCGACTACAACGGGAAGCCTCCAACTATCCACCGACTAATAAATTCCAGGGAGCAAGTGCTACACAACACAATGCCAACGAAGTCTATCGCTCGCGAATAGCCTTTGCTATTTCCATCAACGCCTGGCACATGAGTTTGCTGACTTCATCGGACGTGGCGTAGTGCGTCTTCTGCACCTGCACTTCAGCTTCTAACGCCTCACATTGTCGTAGCTGAATGCTGCATTGCCGCTTGCAGGCACTCTCCATCGTGGCCGCCATCAATGCACCGTGCTTGTCCTTGCACTCCGTCATTGCTTCGAACGTCTGCTGCCTCGTGCTCTTCCTCTTTCCGAAACCATGGGGGCTGCCCGACGTCTGGGAGGAACCACGAGTCGATCCCTCGTCCTCATCTTCCCCCCCCGCACAGGCGTCGACATCACCAACTGCTTCAGGATAAGCAGTTGTCGTCGACGGCAAACGCACACCGCCGCGGGTACCAGTGTCGGCAACGTTTTTGGGGTTGATGGTTTCGTTGAAACCGCTAGACCCTTCAATCTCGTCGTAAACAGCGCGGTCCATATTGAAATTGAAGCCGTGTCTCGCCCTCTCCTTGCCGTTCAACTGGAAGAAGTCGATTCCCCCGGACGGCAATTGAAAATGATGAACTTTTCTTGAATTGCTGCATGACGTTGTCCCACTTCTTCCCGCATTTCTCAGGCTTCCTGTCGACACCCACATTCTTCAATCTTCTAGCGACGTGATTCCATTTCCACTCCTTCAGCTTCATCCGGGCATAGGCATGCCCCATCCACTGCAAGTGCGCATCCTGATCGTGTTTCGCCCGTATGAGCGCGATGATATGTTCGACACTCCAAAAGTTTCGCTTCTCCTCTGCGTCGCCGTTGCCTTCTCCGTCGTTCGCCTTTGCTTGCGCTTTCTTCGGCCGCCCACAACCGTTCCCGCTCGTCGCCTTCGTCTTGCCGCCCTTCCCCCCCCGTCGCTGTTCTGTGATGGCGAGGCGTAACCGCCGTTCCTGTCTCCCGCCTCTCCTGTGCCGTCGTCGTCGTCGTCTTCGGACGGAAGCCCCGCATGTGGCTCCTTAACTTCTTCCGCCTGCCTGTCCATCCTCAGCCGCTCCACCCCCCGCCTGATTGCTTCCTCTCGTCCCTCCCTGATCTTCCGTCGCTCCTCCGCCCACACTAACCTCCCATCGCGGTCGTCAACGACGTCGTCCAAGTACCCCCCCCCCTCCTTGACAATGCCACGTCGACGTCCCAGGTTGGATGCAGCAGACACCGGAGCCGGGGACTGCATAAACGACGGATGACCTTGCGTGCTCCTGGAGATGGAAGTCGCTCGTCCCTGCCACTGCTGTGCGCCTGCGGATTTCGATGATCGGTCCACAGCGGTTAACTGCCTGCCGTCGTCGCCGACATGGGGATTGACGATCACTGTGCGTGTCTGGCTTCCACACCTCCCTGTAGACAGACCGGAAGACAGGTTCGATCCGCCATGCCCTTCTTCCCCGTCGAGACCAGGCGCCAGCAGTTCAGTGAAGGACTGGCCGTACACGCCGCCACTGTCGCCGCACAGCTCCTTCCAAGACCATTCCTGCGTAGAACCGCTACCCAACGGAACAGTGTGTGCCCGTCCCTCCCTCTCCTCCTCATCTAATGAGTCCAAGAGGGGTTGCAAATCTGGCAGCAGTGATGAATTACCGACCCCCAACGACAACCTGCAAGCCGGAGAAAAACTCCCAACGGCACGCCTGCTCACAACCTGCTCCCCTCCTCCCCTAGGGGAGCCCTGTCCACTATCTGTCCTGACGGCCTTCATCGGCGAAGTTCGTCTGCGTCGACGCCGCGGCGCGTTCCCGACGAAACACACGTGCAACACTACGACGACTTGTAGGAAGACGGCGAGAAGCAGCAGCGGGAGCTTGCGAAAGATGTCAGCCATGCGACGGACGACAGCAACGGCACTAGACGGAAGAGAACACGGCCGACAACGTAACTGCGACGTCCTGCACACGGCGACACGCGCTTGGCGACAAACGGAAGCCGTCGTCTTGTGGACGCGCTGTGCCGCCTCAAATATCCGCATTTGCCGACCGTTGGTCGGTTTCCCGCCACGGCTGAAGCCCAACCCCAAGTTGCAACGCGGTGTGCACCTTGGGGATGCTACCGGCCCGCTAACGGTTACCGTTGGCGTGGACATCGGGCCTCTTGAACGTTGGCGACCCAACATGTCCGTGCGCAAGTCGCCCGGACCACCGATGGACCATACGCCGACGACAAAAGAAGTCGACTGAGGAGCCGTCGAAGAGCGGGTTCTTCCCGATGGGGGAGCTCCGAGGATCCTACCGGAGGTTCCTTGGGGAAAATTGAAAATTGCCTGTGCCCCGAGGAATCCCCGAGGAAATGTTTTCCCTTTTTTTTTTTTTTCTTTCCCCGAGGACAAGTGGAACGACGATTTCCTTGGGGGATTTCGACGCCCGAGGAGTGTCGAACGAGCCCCTTGGTCTTTTCCTTCTTTTTTAAAAGCAATATTCTTTTTTTTCTTTTAAAAAAAAAAAAAAAAAACAGGGGCCAAGTCCAACTAGCCAAGAGTTACGCTTCGAGGCTCGGCTTGCAACGACGTCTGGCCCGGGGTGACTCACGTTGTCGGCGCCAATACCCTTACAAGGGTATCCGCCCTGGTTTTTGCAAGTGACAGAAAGGCTCGGTTAACCTGGATTATGAGTGCCTGCGCGGGAAAATGCTAGGGTCGTCCGCACACGGGCAAGGGTCTGCCTTGTTCCGATAGGGAGTACGTGGGCGCGCAATTTAAGGCGCGTGTGTGATTTTTCTGATTGATTGAGCGGCCAGTGTGGCCGACCGACCCGGACCGTGTCTCGAGTTTGGTTAGGGCATGAAAGCTTGTCATTTGGCCAGGCGCGCACGACCGATGGTAGGGCTGGCGCGCCGGTAGGCGCATGGGCCGGCCACGGCGTAGGGTGGTAGACCGGCGCGGATACTTAGGGGGCGTGGGTATAAATGTGGGCCGAAAAAGGGGTGACCGGGCAGTATCCTGGCAGGAACACCTCGCGGCACCCCCTATATGGGAAGCCGCGCCTGCAAGTCGCAAGCTTGGGCATAGCCCTATAGGTTACGGTGCTGGACTTGCGTAGAGGAGATTCGGGGATCGAGGTCGGCAGGCGGCAGCGCGGAGCAAAGGAGCAGCGAAGGGCTGAGGGGTTGAGGGTCCCGCGGGACTATCCCTCTTAGAGTTGTTAGGGGAATCCGCTCGCGGGCCCACGCCGCAAGGACAAGAAGGGGCGCCAGTCGGCCGCGCCCGGCGTCGGCCAGCCTCCCTATTTTCCTTCCTTTTTGCCTTTTGTTGTCTTAGTGCCAGCTGGCTTTCTTAGTTGGATAGGACAGCTGGAGCCGGACACCCGGCCTGGGGCTGGCTGCGACCGTAGGGGGCTGGTATAACAGGCGCGTCTGTGAACTGCTGAGGCGGGGGCCTGTGTCGGACCTAGGAAGGGTCGCGCGACCACTCCGAAGTGCTCAAAGGGGCGGTGGCATGCAGACCCTCTAGGACGGCCGTAAAGGTGGGAGTGGGGTAGTAGAGAGTCGCACGGCCCCTGCACGAGGGTGATATGAGTAGACCGTGATGGGGGGGGGGGCGACGCCCACAATCGGGGAAAGAACCCGGCCGTGAGATAGGCCGGGTACGTACACGAGGAGGAGTGTAGGATCTTTGGGCCAACACGGGGAATTACCCCGGCCAAGATGTTTTGGATCCGTGACACTTGGAGGGGATACAGGGAGGGGGTTCGCATAGGCCGTCGTGCGGAGGCAATCTGTAGAGATCCGGGAGTGAACCCGGATGGGAATCGTGGCTTGGGCCACGCTCGATGTATACGAGGCGGAGGAACCTTTTCGAAGGGCGGGGAGATCCGCAATCCGAGAAAGATTCGTGTAGCTTCCATGCAGGGGTGTTATTTGGGGCGAACCTGGATGGTAACCGGGTTAGGAGCGTGCGAGAAGCAAAAGAAAGAGGAGGAGGGGAGGATTTTTTTTTTCCTTTCTGGAGTTACCTTTTGTGTTTCCTTCCTTTTTTTTCTTTGTTGTTTTTGTTTTTTTTTGTCGTGGTCGGCCAACTTGCTGACGAAGCCGAGTGGGGAGACTCGTCGGCCATTGTATACAGTCCGGAAGGAACCCGAACGCACGCCGCGCCGGGTACGGGCAGACAACAGGGGGGCGTCCCCTCGTGCAAAACCGTCGGGGCATCCAAAGAAATCGGGAGTGGACCCGGACGCGAATCGCGCCGGGTACAGACGGAAAGGAGGATGGGCGTGGCCACGAAGAACCGTATCGAGGAATCTGTGGGGAGGGGGCGATTCGGGCCAATACAGAAAAGATCAGCATGGCCCCTGCGCAAGGATGACATGCATAAATCAGACGAAGACCCGAGCGCCGCAACTTTTGCTTTTTTGCTTGCTTACTTTTTCGTGGCGCGCTTCTGGGCAAACCGACGGGCGGTAGTAACGGAGCGGGCAGAGGTAAGCGAGGCAGCGGGCCAGCGGGAGGGTGACGGGCGGAGCGGCGGCCATCACTGCGCGGGGAGAGAACCCAGACGCGGGCCTGGCTAGGTGCGTGCGGGGGTGGTGGTCGGAAGGGAGATGACGGGGTTGTGGACACAGCGGACAATGGGAGTGACAAGCCGAGCGGAGGGAGCCGGGCGGCACCGAGCGGTCGAGCTGGCCAGTGTGGCGGAGTGATGAACGTAGGGGTAGGAGGAGGATGAGGTGAATCTGGCCGGGTCGCCATGCCGGATGCGTTCAGTAAAGGAAACGATGGCAGGACGAGCTGGCGCACGCTAACGAGGGGTAGGGGCGGACGCCGCTGAGGGTGAATACTGGCGGGCGGGGGGTTCTGGTCGACAGAATGAGTATCAAAGGTGAAGAACAGGGAGGAGCGCGTTGGATACGGGATTAGTAGGTGAGAAGGTAGAGGCGGGATGAGTTCCGCAGAGACGGGCGAAGGGGGAGAAGTGGCGTGAAGATACGAATGAATCGGTTTGAAGTTAGTGGAAGATTCATCCGAAGTTTTGACTAGCCCTGCGCGTAAGGAGCGGAGAGGGAGGCTTACTGGCGGGGTGAAGTGTTGTGCATCCCAACGAGTGGGCCTAGTGGTGAGGGTGTGGGGCCGGCCGCAGAGTTAGAAGATCCGCCTGTTGACTGGTGGGACGTTCCTCCTAGCAGACTGTGCCGACCGGGGCCAACTGCAGTAGTGCAAGCGCATCCCTGGCCTGCATGGTGTGTGTATGGGCAGGCTGGTTGCCTGGGCCGTGCCAGGATGCTGAGTGTCGACAATATGACCATCTGTGATCCAGCCCCTGACTGCTGAGGCTGGTACTATACCCAGCAAGCGCCACGACGGGCCATGCTTGACTACACCATGTAAGGCTGGGTGCTGCTGCAGTTATTGGCAACTGCGGTAGTGCTTGCCATTGTTGACCGGCTCAGATTGTTGCGTATTCACTGCTGGGCTAGAAAGAAGAGGTGAGGCTTGGGGAGGTGGTCAGGATTGGACGAATAGGGGGTGGTGTTGCGAGCTGAAGGTCGCCGCAGAGTCACCTTGGCAGTTTGACCTTGTTAACCAAGCTGTCACTTAGCCGCTATTGCGGGGCCCTCAGGCGTACGAAGAGTTGAAGGCCCTTTCAAGCGAGTCTGAGTGTTTCCTTCCTGAGTCTGAGAGTCTTACTCCTTCTCATCCTGCCCTTCTTACTCTAAGTCTGGTCCTTTGACACTGAGAGGAAGGCGGCAGGCGGGTGTGTGGCCCGTAAACCGTGCCAAGGCCTTTGTGGGAGGTTGCCCCACCGATTGCGGGAGCTCTGCCGGGACTAAGGCAGAGTCCTGGAGGCAGGGAACTGAGTGGTAATCCCTTGACTCCCTCTATAACCCCGACTATAGCCCCTACCTGTACGTCTCTCTACGTTTGACTGAGCGTATTGTGTGGATCCTGTACTCTGATTTTGGTTTGACTGCCAGGACTTAAGTCAGACTGAAGTAAAGGAGTGTGTGTGCAATCTCAGTTTCAGATTTGTTGATTGCCTGAAAGCAGACTATGAATGAGATGGGTTGCATCTGGGGGGAAGGTTGGGAGGAAGGCAGTATTGTGTGCAGATTGACTTGGTCACTAAGGCTGGGAGGTTCCCTTAAGTTTGGGGAAGCCCAGCGCTTTGTTTATTCTTGGTTTGTATGGAGCCTCAGGCCGCTCTATAAGTTTAGGTAGCCTGAAGCTCTGGAGGCTGGGATGTCCCCATAAGTTTGGGGAGACCTGGTGCTGTGAACTGCATGGAGGGTCAGGACGTTCTATAAGTGTAGGTGTCCTGACTGCTCTGACTTGTGGGGGGTTGACTGTGAGTGACTTTCAGGAACCCAAGGTGCTCTATAAGTTTAGGTACCTTAGGTTGCCTCGTTTTGTTTGAGGTTCTCGCTGTTTCTTCGGTGCTGGACAAGGAGGTCTGAACCGCTCTATAAGTTTAAGTGGTTCAACCCTCTTCTGGTTTTGTTTGGAGGGAATAATTATGGCAGGGGACAGGCCGCTCTATAAGTTTAGGTAGCCTATCCCACTGCCTCGCACAGACTGAATCAGAGAGAAACGAACCTGGCTGAGGATCAGACCGCTCTATAAGTTTAGGTAGTCTGACCCAATGCCTCGCACATGTTGGAACCCAATGGATATAATTTGGCTATATTGTATTATCATGCTATTACGAACAGGCTGGTCAGGCCGCTCTATAAGTTTAGGTAACCTGACTACAGCTTATCATAACTGAAAAGAGTATAACTAAGAGGTATAACTGAAGGTAAGTATGGGCAGGCTGAGCAATGTTCTAAGTTGAGCGGCTCAGCCGTATGTCCCTTTGAAGACTAAGTTCAGAAAGCTATATATAATTTGGCTATTTAAACAGTTCAGGGCGACTAGAGTTGTCTAACCATATGCCCAAAGAAGAGAGAAGTAGTCGTGCCCTTTGTTTGTGTATACTTGGCCGAGTCAGAACGCTCTATAAGTTTAGGTATTCAGACTTTAGGCCTGGCTAAGTTGGGTGCGCTCTGTAAGTTCAGGTGCCCTGACCTATGCCTTACGTAAGCTGGGTATGAGGGGATAACTCACTGAAAGATCATGAACTATTGTTTGTTAAAAAGTTTGGGATTGGTGAGAGTACTTACCTTTGTGGTTTGGCCTGCATGTGGCTGAGTGAGATTACTACTTGGTCTGGGTTTCAGGTTGACAGGTAGTTGCTTTAAAGGTTCGCCACGTGCTAGAGCGATAGGAGTTAGGTCAATTTCTGCATTTTTTAAAGCTGACTTTATTTTACTTAAATCGACTTTTCTATTTTCTGAGGCTCACTACTGTACTTGGACCTGTATAAATTCTGGTACTAAGCTACTTTCTCTACGGGAAGTGTTGCCGAAATTTCTACAGATTCAAGGAGTTAGATAAATTTTGACTTGTCAAAGTTCAGCTTGTCTTTTTGACATATCTGACTTAGTAAAAATTTGAAAGGTCTCCTTTTCTAAAGGGAGTGCTGCCCAAATTTTTGCTAATTTAGGGAGTTAGACAAAATTGAGCTTTGGGATGTCAGAGTTAGTCTTAGATTCTGAACCTAGCTTTGTATAAATTTTGGAAAAGCACTTTTCTAGAGGTTGTGCTGCCGAAATTTCTGCAAAACTAGGGAGTTAGCCAAATTTTGTCTAAGTTGAACTCAAGGTTGGGGGCTGAGCAACCTTGAGTTCAAATTCGACTTGGTATAAATCTGAAAAATCCCCAATTCCAAACGGGGTGCTGCCCAAATTTCTGCTAATTCAGAGAGATAGAAGAAAATTGACTTTCAAGAGTTATAGAATACTCTTGCTCTTGATATTCGAGCTGGTATAAATTCTCAGAAGGCACTTTTCCTACGGGAAGCGCTGCCTAAATTTTCTGATTTTTTAGGAGTTAAATTATATTTTGACGGGTAGCGATTTTGCCAGTCCACCCTGAATAGGGGAGATTCAGTCAGGGTCTGCCTTTGCTTTGGGCACTGCTTAAAGGTAGATTTAGGCTTAGTTAGTTAGGAGGATTTGAGTGAGAATATGCTATGGAGTTGTATTCTCCATACACTTATGATCTCTACTTGGGGATTGGCCTGTCATGTGTTACAGGTCCTCTTGATCGTTTGATTAGATCAGAACTAGATCTAGCTTGATCCCCTGAAGGTCATCTCCTGTTATCGGTTGCCGATTCGTCGGTCTTCGACTCAATTCTTGCTCACCCTCCATACTCAACCTAAAAGGCTTTAGCCCTGGTGGTTTTACTGTTTGTTAAGGGTTTCACCTGGACTTTTATTGAATGACCATTTGACAAAGGTACTGAGTATTTAATTGAGGGTGGTTGGATCAGCGATTGGGGCTTGCATGGCTAAAGCGAAGGGGTATGAGCATAGAGAATGGTTGGGGTTGACTCCGTGTAGTGCGTGCTTTGTCACTTGATTCTTGGTGTGGTTGCAGGTATGTCATGTGGCTCGGATTTGGATTTGGACTGCCTGCGATTCCATATATATATACATGGTTGTGAGAAGTCTCACTGTGCGTGTGAGAAGTGATCGTCATAACTCTATCCCCTTTTGCATGTATGCGTGGGTATACGTACGATGGGTATTCCGGGGGCCCAAGGGGGCCGTGTTAACAACTACGTGGAAGTTGGGGCTGAGGGACAGGGGAGAACCCCCCTTCTGCCTACTTGCGTCTTGGGGCTTTCTTAGTCGGACGTTGGTCCTGGGTCGGGATTCAAGGTCCTTGTCCAGGACATCCCAAGCCCTAGGCCCTGAAGGGGAGGGGTCTCCCCTCGCATAGAGCCTATTTACTTTGACCGGCGGGGCACCCTGCCTGAAAGGCGGAAATGTCGCGAGGGCCGAACGGCGTATCCTTCAGCCGTTCAATATCGTGAGGGCTAACCCCTCGCGATGAGTTCCTTCAGCCGTTCAATATCGCGAGGCCGAAGCCACGGTTACCACGTGTGATTGGCATCAGTGGTTGGCATAGGGTTGGCCTGCAGTCGCGCAGCTTTATATCAGAACCGTGTGCGCGGCGCCTCGCCGCCCCAGCGTCTAAAAGTTATGGGACCGCTGGGCTCGCGCGTAGGCGCAACGTTTGGGATTATTGTAGGCCGCCTGCACCGCCCATAGAGGGGAAGTGTGTCCCAAGGCCATGAGCCGTTTTAAAGGCCAGGAGACCTTTGCCCTATCCCCTCTTCCTGAGTTTGTGCTAGTCTTGTTGCTTCTTAGAGATTTTTATGGTTGGACGTTGTAGTCCGTGGCAGCCATCAAAGTCAAACCCCTTGACTTTCGCCCAGGCCCCGGGGAGGACCTACCCCTAGGGCCGTGAGAGACGACTACCACCACAGGCGTGGGCCTGTGTACCACCCGCTCTGCATAAGGGTGCAGAAGAGGGTGTGTGGTCTCCAACCGCGCATGGCGGTTGTTCAACGTCGAGAGATTAACCCTCTAGGCGCGTGTTGGCCGACACTTGAGTGTCGAACGTGACCCTCGAGATTAACGAGGACCGCGTGAGTATGGGTGCTACATGGTACGCCATCATTGCGATCGCGTGCGTACGCTTGCATTGCGAGTCGGTATGAGTTAGCCCTACGTCCGCGCGATTTTATATTAAGACTCGTGCGCGACGCCCACCCGACTTCCGTATTGGGGAGTTATGGGACGGCTACTGAGGGGCTAGGAGCGTTGTCGCGTTGTTCGCGTAGTGCCCGCATTGTTCGTGTTGTGGCGCGTTGTATGTGTGTGCGCGTGCGCGCGTGTGTCTTATTTTTTTTGTGCTCGCAGTGTGGTGCGTGGGATGCGTCCTAGTCGATCGACGACGGGCCGCGCTTGGGACTTCAGCCCCCCAAGATGTCGACTCGCGTGCGGGTCCGATAGGCATATTACCGCGCGTACCCCCTATGCTACAACGAACGAGAAACGCCCTCGGCTGGTCCACCTCTGCGATTGCAACTGATTAGCTTTCACATTGTGGACTGGTGGCTCGGCGGGGATACGCCCACCGATGGGAGGTGACAGCTCCCGTAAGGTGGAGGTAAGTTGTGCCTCGCGTAAGCCCTATCCTGTTGTAGGGGCTCGCGAGAGGTATGGCTGGCGCACTCGGACGGAGCGGCCTAAGGAAGCTCCATTTGTGTGTTCGCGGCCAGGTTGGTCCAACTCTTGCGTGACGCGGCCGAGAGGGTCCCGCACTGCCACGCGCGGTGCCGGACCGATGCGCTCGACAACAAGAGCCGCCGATTGCAGTGGACATCGAGCGCCGTCGTGTTTCAACACACCCCGCGGTTTCCGAAGTGGCCCATGTCCAGTAGCATCTTTTAGAATTGTTTTGTTTCTGTTTTAGTTGGCCACATTCGTTGGGTGGGTAGCTTTAAATTTATGTTTTTTTGACCCATGAGGTGATTTTGAAGCTTCGTTTTGTTTTTTTTTTCCGTCGAAAAGTCGAAGACAATGCCGGGAACGTCCTCTTTCAGACGTCGTTTGTGTGCAGAGCCCACCAGACACGCCCCCAAAACCGGTGTCAGGTTGTCTGTTGTGTGGGGTTGAACCTGAGGTAGGACATTTGTCGTGGTTTGCTTTGTACTTGGCCTATCGTAGCCGCTCCAATACGGTGCGTAGGTGTTCCACATGCTCTTCCAAACTCCGACTCCACACCAAGATGTCGTCGAGGTAGATGAGTACAAAACGATCCAGCATGTGTCGGAACTCCGTTGTCATAGCCGCTTGGAAAGTGGCTGAGGCATTCATAAGACCAAACAGCATGACCAACCATTCGAAATGCCCATACCGTGTCTTGAACGCGGTCTTGTAGCGATCCTCCTTGCGAATCTCGAGTTGCTGATATCACGACTTGAGGTCCAGCTTGGAGAAAAACTTGGCGCCGCCCAGTCGCTCGAGAAGATCGTCGATGCGTGGGAGAGGGCCGGCATTTCTGATCGTCTGCACGTTGAGCTTGCGATAATTCATGCACAACCGCAAATCCTTGTTCTTCTTCCGGATGAAGAGAACAGGAGCACCATATGGCGATGAGCTAGGCCGAATCCATCCTTTCTCCAGAAGGTCATCGAGTTGTGCCCGAAGCACACTTAACTCTTCCTCGCTCATTCGGTAGATGCAACCGCGCGGAGCTACAGCCCCGTCCTCGAGGATGATCTCGTGGCGGATGGGTCAATCCGGTACTACTCCGTGGGGGCCTTCGAACACGTCGCTGTAGACGTCGAGAAGCTTGGTGATGCGTGGATCCGAAGGTGAGTCCGTCGATGAAGCGTCATGGGGCGGGAGGGCGTGGAAAAAACACACCCCCATCTCCTCGATGTCGTCTCTGATGATGGAAGCTCGCATGCTTGCGGCAGATACCACGTGGCAGCTGATCGAAGGATGAGGAAGAGGTACCGTGCATGGAACTAATACTCCGTTCCGATCACGAATGTGAACGGTGCGGTGGAAGAAGTTCACCGGGTGATCCTCGCTTCGCATCCATGACATGCCCAAGATCATGTCGAATTTGGTGTCCAGAATATCAAAGGACACCGCCTCACTTGCGTGAGGGGCAAAGTACACGGGGACGGCATCAATGCACCGGTCGATGGACTTGTGCGTATGACCGTCTGCCAAAGTGACTTGCGTAGGCTTGGACTTCCTCCGGACACGTGGGCCAAGGCCGGCGCGTACCATGAAGTCCTGGCTGATGTAGTTGCGAGATGCTCCGCAATCAATCAAGGCGTTGCACGTCGCCTCTCCGATCTGAATGCGTACATATAGCAATGGTGCGTCGATGTCGTCGTACCGTTGCTTCTTGAACTCGCGGTCGATCTTCGCAATGTAAGCGTGAAGGTCGACAACCTCTACTCCGGCGTCCATCAACGGAGCTGGTACTGCAGTGTGCAAGTAATCCCACAGTTGTGCCATGAGCACATTGCAATGCGGTTTCGGCAATCGTCCGGACGAGGGAACGGGCATCCACTAGAAGTCCGTGAACGTCAACGGGTCGAGCTCTTCAAGTCTTGACCATGACGTCGAATCCCCGGCAATAGATTGCGGCGAAGCTGCCGAATCGGTTGCCGATGGTGATGAAACCGTGCATGCGATGGATTGTTGCACGTGGAGCGGTTGGTCCAGCGGTGGAACCAAGTGGACAGCATAGTCCTCGTAAGTGTACCGAGAACTTGCGACATTCGCATCCTCCCCAGATGTGCAGGAGGCCGCGAGCAAGGCGGCCGAATCTGGCAGAGTAGAAGGTGGAGTCGCCTCACCTTCCGCGGAACTCACATCCTCCTTGCACTGATCCTGGCACAGGGAGGTCTTGTGCTTGGTGTTGTTGCACCAATAGCAGCTGCCGTAGCGGCCGCGGACCTTGTACTCCACCTCGGTCAAGTCGAACTTGACCCATGGAGGCTGTCCATTTCCGGCCTGCGATGCTGGTTTCGCCTTCCCATTATTGCGGGACTTGTTGGACTTGTTGTTGCTTCACGGCTGGACAACAGCCACCTGATCTCCGTCACCTGATGCTGGAGTGGCTGCTGGGTTATCTCCACTGTCCGACTGGACTGCAGCGAAGTGCTGCTGTCGCGGACCAGTTCGTACCTTCTCCACATAGGTCGGCTACCATGTTGACTTCTCGTGTGCAGCTGACCTGTTGGTCTTGATGATTTCCCTCGCCTTGTCGCTGATTTCGGTGAAGGTGGAGTACTGCTCGCGATCACCAAGAGCCTGGCTCAATGCAGCACAGGACCTGTTGTATAACTCACAGCGTAAATGCGTGAATGGCAAGTCCAGATTGGGCACCGCTGCAATCTTCTGCCACTCCGTGAGCCAATCCCGTGTTGCAGTGTTGCCCTGTGACATGGTGAACAGACGGTTGATGGCGAGTGTCGGTGCGTCGTCGACGATGAACCGTTTCTTCCACAGCCATGTCAGTTCCTCCCATGTGATCTTGTCCTTCAAGTCTGGTACGTCGACGTTGTGAGAGGTTGCCAGGTGGGTGAACCAGATCTGGCATCCGCCCTTTGAGTTCATGAACAGGGCGCCGATGTACGCATGCTTAGCGACAGGCAGAATCCGAAGTTGCGTCGTGAATGCTTCCCACCAGAGGACCGGATCCTGCTGCATGTAGTCGTCAAACTTCTCCAGTTGGAAAGTTGGCATCTTGTACAACTTAGGATTTCCATCCGTGTTCGTCGACTGCAGCGGCTGGAACTCGGTCTTCAAGGTATGCAGCTGACTGCTGATGGTGGTCGGCGCAGCGAAGGTGCTGATGTCGCCGAGCATTGCCACTACGTGGTCAACGCGTTCCTCCAGTTGGCGGCTAGACGATGCAATGCTGGAAGCCCCAGCATCTGGTCTTGACGGAAGTTGTTCCAAGTCCTGTACACGGGCGTCCAGTGCCCGTGTGGCATCCTCGTGCTGAGTCTTATGGTTCCGCACGGCCCGCTGGAGGTTCGCCAGCTCGGACTGTAGGTGGTTACAAGTGTAAACCAACCTGCTCACGAGCTTGGCCATGAACTCCTTATGCTGCTCTTCCGGTCTTGCCTCGTTGCCGTTCGGTTCAAAGTGCCAGTACTTGAGTCTCTCGATGCTGTTGGCTTCATGCCGCAGCAGCAGATCATGGGCTTCCTTGCGGCGAGCCTGGGCATCTGCGTCTGCTTCGGCCTGTAGCCGCAGCTTCTCTGCTGTTGCCGCTTCTTCAGCTTGTAGCTGGGCAGCCTTGACTGCCAGCTGGCATTGTTCCTCAGCCTCGATTGCAGCGAGTTGAGCCTGGAAGCGCTTTTTGTAGTCGGCAATGGGCTCATTGGCCAGTTTGGCCTGGTAGGCCCGTCATGTTGCTGACGTGGCACTGCTGACGTGGCAGTGTGTCTGACGTGGCACTGCTGACGTGGCACTGCTTACGTGGCACTGTGTCTGATGTGGCACCGCTGATGTGTCATTGTAGCTGACGTGTCACTGTGTCTGACGTGGCACTGCTGACGTGTCACTGTAGCTGACGTGTCATTGTGTGACATGGCCTGCTGACGTGTCACTGTAGCTGATGTGTCACTGTACCAACCCGGAAATGCATGCAAAGGGTGGGTGGGAGGGAAAAACGCAGGTAGGAAACCAACCCAACAATACTTTCCTCCGGCCCTAATCAACAGATAAAAAATAAAAGAGGACTACTTCCTTTTTTTTTTTTTTTTTGTATATCTGTCGATCTATTATGAGTAGGACATGTCAGAAGAGTATTATGAACGAGATCTAGGCTAGGTTCCGCAAAGTTTCGGCTTTTACAAACTGC